GTCAGCAGTGGCATTGGGGAAGGGGTCAGGGGGAGTGACAAGATGGCCAAAATATTTAAAATGTATATATATATATATATATATATATATATATATATATATATATATATATATATATATATATATATATATATATTTCCACATTTAAATTGGCGGGGGTAGGGGGGGGGGATGCGCCACTTTGATACGCCACTGTGTGTGAGCCTCTCTTTCTCTCTCTCTCTCTCTCTCTCTCTCTCTCTCTCTCTCTCTCTCTCTTTCGCTCGCTCGCGCGCGCACTACTTTCTTCACCTTTCCCCTTTATCGGTTAGCGCATCTGCTGTACATTCCCCCCTTCCCACTCGGTTATACACACAAGGTCGCAAGCATGCACACACCACACACACGCACATATACGTACACACCACATACATAATGCACACATATATATGAAATGCTATGGGAAATAAAGGTGACCTACATAATTCTGACCACATCTTTCTTTTGTAAAATGGAGCTGGCATCATATCAACAAAATACCTAAAGGCTGGGAAATGTTTCTCTGTCTGTCTGTCTCTCCCCCTCTCTCTTTCACACACACACACACACACACATACGCACGCGCATACCTACACACAGACACACATACACAGATGTAGTTTTTAACATTTTCTATAATATACATGGTGGGGTAACAAAAATATATATGATGTAAAAACAAACAATACATCATAAAAGATCAGTTTTGTCTACTGAGTGTTGCACCGGTTTAAGATTAAAACAATATTTGCATGTATATCAACGACGTACAAAATGTTGATGGACTAGAATTGGATGGTTGTAATTTTTTTCTGTCAGGTCCTTCTATTTCAAATGTCTATATTACTTTAGCTACCCCACGGTGTCCCAGCTAGTTATTAATTTAACTTATACTACTATGTCCCAGCTAGTTATTAATTTAACTTATACTACTGTGTCCCACCTAGTTATTATTTCAATTCACCCACCGCGTCCCACCTAGTTATTACTTATATACCTCACTCACTGTGTCCCAGCTAGTTATTACTTTATCTCCCCCATCGTGTCCCAGCTAGTTATTACTTTATCTCCCCCATTGTGTCCCAGCTAGTTATTACTTTATCTCCCCCACTGTGTCCCAGCTAGTTATTACTTTATCTCACCCATTGTGTCCCAGCTAGTTATTACTTTATCTCCCCCATCGTGTCCCAGCTAGTTATTACTTAATCTCCCCCATCGTGTCCCAGCTAGTTATTACTTTATCTCCCCCATTGTGTCCCAGCTAGTTATTACTTTATCTCCCCCATTGTGTCCCAGCTAGTTATTACTTTATCTCACCCATTGTGTCCCAGCTAGTTATTACTTTATCTCCCCCATCGTGTCCCAGCTAGTTATTACTTTATCTCCCCCATCGTGTCCCAGCTAGTTATTACTTTATCTCCCCCATCGTGTCCCAGCTAGTTATTACTTTATCTCCCCCATTGTGTCCCAGCTAGTTATTACTTTATCTCACCCATTGTGTCCCAGCTAGTTATTACTTTATCTCCCCCATCGTGTCCCAGCTAGTTATTACTTTATCTCCCCCATCGTGTCCCAGCTAGTTATTACTTTATCTCACCCATTGTGTCCCAGCTAGTTATTACTTTATCTCCCCCATCGTGTCCCAGCTAGTTATTACTTTATCTCCCCCATTGTGTCCCAGCTAGTTATTACTTTATCTCCCCCATCGTGTCCCAGCTAGTTATTACTTTATCTCACCCATTGTGTCCAAGCTAGTTATTACTTTATCTCCCCCATTGTGTCCCAGCTAGTTATTACTTTATCTCCCCCATCGTGTCCCAGCTAGTTATTACTTTATCTCCCCCATCGTGTCCCAGCTAGTTATTACTTTATCTCCCCCATCGTGTCCCAGCTAGTTATTACTTTATCTCCCCCATCGTGTCCCAGCTAGTTATTACTTTATCTCCCCCATCGTGTCCCAGCTAGTTATTACTTTATCTCACCCATTGTGTTCAAGCTAGTTATTACTTTATCTCCCCCATTGTGTCCCAGCTAGTTATTACTTTATCTCCCCCATTGTGTCCAAGCTAGTTATTACTTTATCTCACCCATTGTGTCCAAGCTAGTTATTACTTTATCTCACCCATTGTGTCCAAGCTAGTTATTACTTTATCTCCCCCATCGTGTCCCAGCTAGTTATTACTTTATCTCCCCCATCGTGTCCCAGCTAGTTATTACTTTATCTTACCCATTGTGTCCAAGCTAGTTATTACTTTATCTCCCCCATCGTGTCCCAGCTAGTTATTACTTTATCTCCCCCATTGTGTCCAAGCTAGTTATTACTTTATCTCCCCCATTGTGTCCCAGCTAGTTATTACTTTATCTCCCCCATTGTGTCCAAGCTAGTTATTACTTTATCTCCCCCATCGTGTCCCAGCTAGGTTAAAGGTAAAAGTTAAAGGTTAAGTTGAGAGGGTCGACTTTATTGCACCGGGTTTTATCCGATGTGGATCGGTCTCTCTTAGCAGAAGGCTAGCAGTCTGCCGAAATCGCCGCGCAGAGCATGAACTCCGTAGCTCTAATAACGATCTTCAGAGAGCGAGGCAAACGGCTTGATTACTTCGCCACAGAGACCCCTAGCTAGTTTACCCCGTGCCCTGTAGTATCTGTTGTTAAGGATGCCCGAAGATCCCTTTGCCACTAAATAATCTTTTTCGTGAATGGTTCCATTATGTTTAATATCACATACAGAAATATAAGTCTTTGGCAAACTCTTGATGCCACTAATATAACATAACAATTAAGTGAAAAGTTCGGAATAATGATAGCGCAGTGGCTTAGAACTGCCCGCTGGCCTGAAAGTTCTGGGTTCGAATCAGCACTAGGCGGTTATGTACTTGAAAGTAAAAGTAGCTTACATGATCTTAACAATATCACTAGTCAATGTAGTATTGAAAATAAAAAAAATAAAAATAAAAATAAAAATACAAGTCTACCATTTATACGCCCAATGGGCAATAAGCATAAAAAGGGACTTTAAAGACAAAAGCATTAAAGTAATAAAACAGAAGAAACTATGGTTAACATTAGACGGCAGGTTCTCGCTTATCAGCTGACTTTCATAACTTTATACGATATGTTTAATGTAATATAAATATGACCATGTTCAGTATTTCACAATGTCATTTCAGATCTTTCTTCTGTTTGTTCTTGTATTGCCACACTTTATTCTTTTACAGTTTATTCTTTAACACCTTTTTCTTTCACACTTTGTTCATTGAGACTTTTTACTTGAACACTGAATTCTTTTAAACTTTTTAATTCCACACTTAAATCTTTCACACTTTTTACTTTCAAATTTTATTCTTTCACACTTTTTACTTTCAAACTTTGTTCTTTCACACTTTATTCTTTCACAATATTTTCTTATACATTTTGTTCTTCACTTTTTTCTTTCACAGTTTTTACTTTCACACTGTGTTCTTTTCAATTTTTTACTTTCACACCTTTTACTTTCACAATTTATTCATTCACACTTTATTCTTTCATTCTTTATTCTTTCACTATTTATTCTTTCACACTTTTCTTCTTCTTCTTCTTTTCTCTACTTACGGATTGACTCGCAGCGCCAGGACAGGAAGGAATTTCGGGGACGGGCCCTTATGTTCGCTTTGTTTTAAATTGAACGACTTGAGAAGATGCAAAATGAAGCCACGCGCATTATTTTGGGATCTAAAAGAGACACTTCCGGTGTAGCAGTGAGATATCTACTTGACTTCATGACCAAGAACCAAAGAATCAAGATGAGGAGGGCTCGGAAATACCTTAAAATATGCGCTGATAAGAAACACCCACTGCATCAAGCGCTTTTCAGTGAAAAGGGTGACAGGCTGAAGACGGGGGAATCGTGGCTAGGTCGAGCAGAAGATGTTATTAGGCAACTATGCAGCCTAACCGACATCACCCTTGGTGCAGTGGATACCAGTGCCTGATGCGTTTATTTGTGCATTTTTTCCTGTACTGTCATACTCGACAGGCGATACAGGGAGCAGAACCCATTTGCCGTCAATGCCATCCAAGCAATTGGAAGGGTAGAGGACTTTAGGGACAGTGAATCCACACCACTCGCCAGAGCATCTCAGCGCAGTGCACGAACTCCGTAGCACCGGCAAGGATCCTGAAATACTTTTGGTAGATTTTTAACTCCAAATTTTGCGCAAGCTCTTTTAGATTTCCAACTGCCAAGGGATTTTTTACGTGCTCAACAATACACACGAGCGTCCCGATCTTACTATCCAGAATCCAGGAGAAATTACTGAAAGTCCACGTGACAAATAATCCTAGCCTTACCCGGGGTTTGAAACCGGGACCTTCAGTAGTCGAGGCGGACCTCATGCCTTGAGACCACTCAGCCCTCCATTTGGACAGAAACGGAGCAGCTATGAGGTGACCCGTTTGCAATGATATTGTTACAGCGATTACCTGACTGACCCAGGAACCAGAGTCAGATAAAACATTCACTATTTTTGTAAAGGGTGATGTGGGACACTGGAGCCATGAGCCTGAAGATTAAAGGCCTTATGGCTAGAGCAGGTGCCACAGACTTTACATGGAAGGATTTTGTTTTGTTGCCCAAATAGAAAAAATATATGAAAATCCATCATCTTAAAGAGGATTCCAAACTAGGTTCCTCGAATGAGAACCCTTCCCGTGTGGGGAAAACAAAAGTAGACCGACTGACTCCTTGGAAGCATATGCCTGCGTGAGAAGGAACCAACAATCTGCATTCAAATAAGCCAGACCTGTTAAACGGATGGACAGGCAATACTCAGGTTCTGGAAAAAGGCTAAAGTCGACATGTGGGCAAACAGCCAGAATTTTCCGCTAGTTCACATGTCGTGAACGTGAAGAAAAAGAAGATTGAGAGCCCAACATTTTTAACCACGCTTCCAACCGTTGCTCCCACCATCTATAAATAACAGTAATGTTCATTTGATCAACATCTAATCCATGATACTACACGCGTCATTTGTGTAGATAAAGTTGGGCGTTTCCCTTTTGATGTCTCCATTCTTTGAATATAGTTCGTGACTATCCCTCACTTCCTGTTTGGCCAGATTATTGTTCCGCCTATGGCTGTTGTGGTCATCGCTGTAGTCAAACGTATATTTTGTTGATGACTGAAAAAAGAAAAAAAAAAGAATAATTAGTTCTGAGAAGAGTAATGCTTGAGAAAAACAAAATATTATTTAATGTTATGTGAAGTGCAATATACTATTGTATGTATCGTGAAGTGCAACTTATTATTGTATATTATATAAAGTGCAACATGTTATTGTATGTTATGTGAAGTGCAACATGTTGTTGTATGTTAGTGAACTGTATATTTGTGTGTTTTTAAAATGAAGTGCAGCAAGCATATTGTTACTTAAGTGAAGTGCAACATATTATTGTATTTTATATAAAGTACAACAAATTTTTATATATTTCAAGTGTAGTGCAGCACAAGGTACTCTGAGTAAAGTGGAACACACACACGCGCACACACACACACACACACACGCACACACGCGCACACACACACACACGCACACACACACACATATATAAAGGACAAATACAAAGGAAGGAGAAGAAAAGAAGAAGAAGAAGAAGAAGAAGAAGAAGAAGAAGAAGAAGAAGAAGAAGAAGAAGAAGAAGAAGAAGAAGAAGAAGAAGAAGAAGAAGAAGAACAACAACAACAACAACAACAAGAACAATAAAAAGAAGACAATAAAGTTAAAAATTTATTTGATATCGAAATATGAATGTTATTATACAACAATAATAAGTTAGGACAAGGAAGTCATATAGCTGATAGTGGAGCCGCGGTGGAAGGCGCCTAGATGCTCGTCTGCGGGTCCGAAGGTCGTGGGTTCAAATCTGAATGGAGCTTGACATGTTGCGAAAATGACCGTCGCTCCCAGGTCGACCTGATCTCAAATGGGTACCAAGGAAAAGACATGGGAAGTAAAGTCGGCCTTCCTGATTCTGACCATATCTTCCACCGATGGGTCTATAAAATATTGGACTTGCACTAAATGCCCAATAACACCCGAAGGCGTGAACAGTTGTCCTTCACGTTAAACGTAGATGAAACTGACTGCAATGTGGCATGTTATGACTTCACATATTTTAATAATAACAAATGAAGTGGGCTGGCGTGTTCCCTTTCTCCCAGTGAGGTTAGACGAATAAATGAAGTTAAACATTCACGTAGTTACCTTGTGAAAACAACACCATGAGTACTTATAATATGTCCGTTCATCGACGTCCCGTCCTCTGTTGCAGCCTGTTAATAAATAAATGAAAGCAGGGAGTTGTATGGCATGAGTTCATTCAATGTGAATTCAATAGGAGTTTCATAAATAGGAGTTTCATAAATGGAAGTTTCAAAAATGGGCGTTTCATAAATGGGAGTTTCACAAATGGGAGTTTCATAAATGGGAGTTTCACAAGTGGGAGTTTCAAAAATGGGAGTTTCAAAAATGGGAGTTTCACAAATGAGAGTTTCAAAAATGGGAGTTTCAAAAATGGGAGTTTCAAAAATGGGAGTTTCACAAATGAGAGTTTCAAAAATGGGAGTTTCATAAATGAGAGTTTCATAAATGGGAGTTTCATAAATGAGAGTTTCACAAATGGGAGTTTCATAAATGGGAGTTTCACAAATGGGAGTTTCATAAATGGGACTTTCACAAATGGGAGTTTCATAAATGGGACTTTCACAAATGGGAGTTTCATCGATAGGAGTTTCATAAATGTTCACAGCAGACGCTGTTTCCCAATCCAGCGCACAGCTCCATGGTCCACAGAAACTGGCAGGTGCCAACATTCTACACAAAAAGAACAATGTAAACGGATTTGATTACTTATGCCACACGGCAGGGACCACTGGAAACAAAGAAATATTTGGTGAAAATAAAAACTACCTTAAACTTGAATTTTACCTGTAGATTGTGGGACCGGCAAGTTAAACGAACAGCAAGTCTGGTACAGTGCAAAACTAGGACGAACGATAGAGAGTGTTGGAGATTTATTAAGCCAACCTCTATTGTGGAGAAGGCGCTGATTGATAGAGCCTATCACAGTCTTAATTGGTTAATAAGGAGGATTTGTTTAAGACTGATGCCTTCCCCAAGCAGAAAACCGCATCTGAAAAATCTCTCTAATTGTGAAATAAAGTCTTCACAGGGTTTAACCATGACCTACTCTTAAGTAGGACAGGGTTTACTGTCGCCTGCAGATCGTGCACTCAGACAAACCAATACTGATTAGACAAATAGGACGTCCAACGCGTTACGTATTGTTGTTAGGTAATTGAATCTTGAGTAGTTGCAGCAGAGAAGTTCAAGAAGGCGGACGTGTGGTCCGGCCTTGGTGGATTCCAGAGGAGAATTTTACCCTGGGACCTCACCATGAATGTCAGCTCGAAACTGGGCCTTAAAAAAGTATGTTATACGTATGGGAGGATTCGCAGTGGAGAAGTCCAAGGAGGCGGACTTTATTGTCCTAGTGTGGCTCATCATAAGGCAAGATTTACCCCGGAATCCCACAGAGAAATTCAGCCTGGTTGCTGGGGGCGTTACTGCCATTTCTGCAGGAAGCAGGATAGTCTTACACTTTTGTTTTAGCTCAGCGAGACTACTGAATAATTAATTATAAAGAAACTGTGTAGTCGTGTTCATCAGTATTGTGCTGCATACTGACTTGTTTGAGAAACCGTTAAAGGTTTAAGGTCGAGCTGTTGACCTAAAGAGATATTGTGAAGTAAAAATGTATATGATTAGATGTGGAGTCTAATCTTTTTCGAGAATGCGTGTGAGGATGTAGGATGAGTTCCTTCCAATTTTATTATGTTCGCTTGCAACGTCGACCCTAAACTCATAATACACATTTTGGTACACGTCACTCCCTAGTATTGTTGAATTAACACCTTTGAAATCGATTGTTGCTGTTGCTGTTGTAAAGTTGTCTACAAAGTTTCAAACTGTTCCTGTTGGACATTGTCCACCGTTCAGTGCGAAAATCGTGCCTTACTGTTTTCACTAGACTTGGCTTGGTAGAATGAACTAATTTTTGTTCAAGCTGTGTTGACTTGTTGCTTTCAATGGCGATCATACTTCCACTCAATCATTCTCTCCTCCCCCCCCCCCCCCCCCACATACACACAAACACACACACGTCACATTTACCTGAGCTCCTGTGCTCTATCGGAAGTTGACAAGCAGAAGAAGAATTGTTTGGTGAAAAAAGAGGTAAAGTATAATGTATAATGCTTTTAAATTAATAACATAGTTTGTGTTAAAGATATCGGGTCAATAAAACTTATCAAACTCGTAACATAGCTCGCTAGCGTAGTTGGTTTAATCTGACTTGGCGGCGAACGGGTGACAAACTTCTTGTGGTCCGTGTTCACGCCCGAGGGTAGGCAGAAAAGCCGCATTTCTCCCAGATTTATATATCATAGAATCAAGGCCGAGGGGTTGCGATATCCATAGTACAGAGCCAAAGGGTTAACGACGCATGGTTTCTGAATAAAAAAAACAAAAAAACAAACAAACTCGAAACAGAAAAACTAAAGGGGGCAACATTCAGAAATTAATCAGCTTGTTAACCTACATAGGCCTAACAAGTAAAGATATTTGATTTGTCCTCTGTTATATTTATGGCAAGTTTTTCAACTTACAAGTGATGGCTGAGACAAATGAGCCCACAAGCCCGGATACAATCAGAGCCAATGTTGAGTAGTGGATGTACGACAAATACAGATGACCATCAGAGCTAGATCTGCTGACATAAACAGAATAAAAACATTATTTTTAAAAACCGGTCATTGCATTAAAAGTGGACACCCCTCTTACTTTCTGCCCTACTCATCCTCATCATTGTTGTTCACGCACGATCATAAAATAAGAGCACAACAGACTTCATGTTCAAGATTTTCAGTGTAGGAAACACGGTGTCCCTGCAATATAGTGTATGAAATTCTCTGCATGTACTCCAACACTAACATACTCTATGCGTAAAGAGAGAAACCATTTCGCAGTTCCAATGTCAATCAGGACAAAGCTGCATGGTATCCTAGGAGGTTTGGACTCCATGAGAGCTTTCATCAAGTCTACTGGCCTCCTAATATGTTTTCCAGCAGATAGATTAAAAAAAAAGATCCTCAATGTCGCTATCCTAACCACTACCATCACTATCATCATCATCATTACCATCACAATTATCATTTTTTACATTGTCATCATCATCAAGTAGGAGTTCATTTGCAGATCGTCACTCCTATCACGGTCTGCCTGAAAGAAACTCGGTATCCCAGCAGCTATCCCGCTTGGAGTACTATCATATTCAAGCAGTTACTTATATCCTGTGCCCATTTTCGTGTTGGTCGGCCCCTGCCTCTCTTTCCTGGTACCATGCCTTCTGCTATTTTTTCTTCTAATCCGCTATGGCGCTTAATATGACCAAAATGTTTCAGATTCCGAGACAAGATACTGTTTATAAGCCAATCTTCCTTGATGTTCACATCTTTTAAAATATCACTATTTCTTATCTTCTTTGTCCATGGTATTCTGAGAATCTTTCTTTGGCTTTCTAGCTTAAATTCCCCTATTTTCTTTCTATATCAGCAAATGCTTGTTTAGTTTTCGTGAACAGTCATGCCTCACCCCATCTTGCATATTAACGTGGGAATAGAACCAGTTAAAGTAATATCTACTTGAGAGTGAAAGACTGAAAGGAGCATACTGTGCAACGAGGCATGCAAAATAATATACATAATTTTCATATAAATAATATTATATTGAGTCCTCGCTGATAACATTGGCATATGTATCATAATGATGAGTTGCGGGGCCTCATTGTGGGGGTGCACCCAAACAAGCATATAGTAGAAGGGCGAATAATTAGCTTTATTCCCTTCGATGTCGGAGTGCATCTGCCTGAGAGGCAAGTAACCAACAGTTTGCACACAAATAAGTGAAATCTGTAAAACGGATGTGTGTACAAAACTCACGTTCTTGAACAAGACCAAAATCCCTAAGTGGATGCACAGCCAGAACTCTCCACTGGAGTTTACAGCCGGTGAACGCTAAGAAAAAGAAGACGACTGGGATATGTAGCGACTATGGTATTTCCATTTTTTTAAAGCTGTTCTCACTCACACAAACAAACACCATTCTAACATGTCATCACTGATGAAGCAAAGACATTAAAACAAGCTAAGGAGTTTAGCTGAGTACAGTTGAGTTGAGTCAACAATTAACATCACAGCGCTCAGGGCATTCCCATGCCTGCTCCATCCTCATCTTTAGCAGCCAGCGCAGAGTTCCAATACTCATGGTTCGGTCATAATCTAGTTATATGTCTGTCTTGCCTTTCCTCTGAGTTTAGTGAGCCGACCAGACCCTCTGGTTACACCCAGATGCCTCATTCTCTATAGGCCATAATAATATTTTTTCTCTACTGATTCCGTTGCTTGTTCTCAAAGGGCCTTGACCACATCTGCCTTGTCATGTATCCTTTCACCACCCAGTGGTGCAGATCCAGCCAATCTTTCTGTCTGTTCATTACCCACTACGCCGGCATAGCCTGGAGAAAATATTAAAAGTATGCTCACTACCTGTTACCTTCCCAGTGAAGCTTGCCATTTTGCTCAAAGCATCCCTGTCTTCACCTTTCTCAGCATGCCTTTAAAGTCAGTTACAATTACGACGTGTGTCTGCATCTTGTTCTTTAGCCACCGGAGAGTGGCAGTTACCGCCTCCACCTCCATTCTCATACTTGATGTTGTGATGCTAAGGAGTTGAGTACCCATGCAGTGTATTCACAGAGAATGGGGTATTGGTCAGGAGAATAGAGAACAGAATACATAAGGCTAGCAATATAAATTACAAAATAGCGCCACTCCTGAGGCATCCAAATATAAACGTGCACACAGAAAAGTAACTGATAAATGCGGTATTCCTGCCAACGGTGTACTATCAAGGCCGAACACGGAATGTTCTAGAAAAACGCAAAGTTACAACATGTGAGAGAGATGTATAAGAAATACGGCGGGAAAAACCAGAAAGACAGAATCACCACTGAAGAATTAAGAACAATGGCAGACACAGTACCGGTGAATGATCTTTATATAGAACACACAAGAATCAAATGGTTTTGTTATCAGGTCATAATGAAACAACATCAGCCAGCAGCTAGAACGTACTACAGGAGAACAGCAGGTTACAAGGCAAGAGGTCGACCAAGAAATATATAAGTGGACCAAATAAAAGAGATACTATAGAATCGCAATTTAATACAATCCACACAGCTACCAAAAGACAGAAACTACGTCTATCTTCTCTTCGCGATATTGTTCAGTACACAGCATAAGCAGTAAGACAAAAGAAGATAAAAGAAGAAGAAGCCACTTACATATGATGTGTCATTGTTACATTTGAAGGAAATGTCGTAGTACTGCTTGTTATATTATATAATAATGTTGTTGATGTTATATTATTTCCCGGACACTGGTCACTTCTAACTGGCAAGTCATTCTTTGGTGGAGGGTTGAACACCGGGTCAATGCCAACATAAAAGCAAGCAATCAGGCTTGCAATCATGCCAACTCCAGCACCCTGCAATTGGAACAAAAAGTAGTTAATGAATTATTGATGTAAGAGTAGACATCACAGCATACTTGGTATTCATACAGATCAGCAGTTCATAACCATTTTCCAATTCCAATTCCTTATGTATTACCGTCCGGTGTTAATATGGTAAAGTGGAGTGCGACTAACGACCCGACATGTCCGCTATGTAGAGCTAAACAGACGCTTGAGCACGTATTGTCTGCGTGCAGAAAAGCCCTAGGTCAGGGCAGGTAGACTTGGTGCTGAAAGAATTAGCGGCCGTTGTGGACCAAGCTAGGATGAGTGCTAATGCGAGGGCCAGTCCTACCGTTGTCCCCGTGCGCTTCCTCAAGGCTGGGCAGATTTATAAAGGTAAATTTAACAAAGTCGCATACTCTCCATCGATGCTTGACTGTGCGAGGGACTGGTTACTGGCAGTTGACCTGCCTGTTCACGAAAAGTACCCTGATTTAATCAGGAAGACTGGCTGCGACCCGACATAGTCCTACACTCTGCGGAGAAACGTCAGCTCATCCTGGCGGAGCTGACCATGCCGTATGAGTCGCAAATGGACAAACGCCACATGTACAAGCTCGAGAAGTACAGTGACTTAGCGGCTGGCCCGAGGAGAGACGAAGCGTACACAGTAAGAATCTTCGCCGTCGAGGTAGACGCAAGAGGCCTCGTTACCACTTCAATGTACAATGTGATTAAACAAATAGGCTTGCGAGGAAATGAATGCAAACGAGCACTAAAACAACTGGGCGAGGACGCTGAGGGGGCCTGGAGCTGGCTCTGGACTCAACGGAACGTCGTGGGGGATGGGCATCGGAGAGCTGGTCCGGGTATCTAGTGGAAAAGAATGTCTCATCACTTAAAGTCAATCGTGTCCGAAGTGTCTGCCAGTGTCCCTCTGCCAGCTGCCAACAAAGTCTACCATGTGTCCGATAAACCAAACGTAAGCTTGCCACTTGGTCGTCCAGGTAAGCTGACTGCTCTAATTATGCTACCGCAACGACTTCGTATCTCACAGTACTTTTTGCAGTCACCCGACAACATCCGGTAATACGTGCAGCAGGAGAAAATCAACCCTGAGCCTCATGAACTCAGGCGGGCCAACTCTCTGAAAATGTCTAGGAGCTCGTGGACCGAAACATTTGTCGACGAGAGATTACTTCTACTGACGATTGGCAGACTCCTGCTGTACATGCTCCCCTGTGGAGTTTCTTCTTAGAGGAAAAAAAATCGAAAACTCAACGGCGTTCAACCGGCTGCTATCTAGCCGAAGCTGCTAACAGTCTCAGGCTAATTTGTGATCTTGTTTATTTGCGCCACTTTTGTGGCTAAAGTTCCTTTTATGTGCGCCGTCTCTTGGCTTAATGCTTCTTTCCTCACTGTCAGACCGCCATTATTTATAGTGTGAACATTTTCAGTATTTTACTTTGCTAAAAAGTACTGAAAACAGTTTTTGGGTTTGGATAGACACGAAATGTTAAAATATTCCGCGTGTGAACATAGTGGTCTTATAGTTGTCTTCCTGCAATAAGAATGGGTTAATCTTATCATGGAGATGTGTGTGAAATGTTAGGTGGAGCCTCACAATGATTCTATCCGTCATTTGTTATAGTGTTGTCCGATTACGTCGGTTTGGGTTGGTAGCTAGGCTTCGGTGTACGTAAATACCAGATCCAAACCCATAACAAATGTACATAGCTTACCACCACTCTGCGACCCTACAGGGAACCCTTCGCGAACCCAAAGTGGATTGAGAATCAGTGCAACAGATGTTCTTTTTTCCTGCATAAAATAGTAACAATGCTTAGGGGTCCCGCAGCACAGGAGTTGTACACACGTCGGTCTCTTCCTCTCATTCGTCCTTTCCTAATGTGATCAGTCAGTCAGTGGCATTTCCCTTTGCTCCCATAACCACCTTCCGGAAAACTTCTCGATCACAAACAAGCATGATGAATCGCGTCGAATTTACCCATCTGGAGATCATCCGCTACATCCTGCACCCATCTTCTCTTTGGCCTTCCTCTTCCTCTCTTCCCAGGCATATACCCCTCTATTACTGTTCTCTCTAAACTTACGTGATGTTTCAAGTGACCAAAATATTTCAATTTTCTGTGTTTTAACGTCTTTAATAGCCAAACATCTTCAATATTCAGTTCCTGAAGCATAGATGCATTAGGGTTTCCCTTTAGCCATGATATTCTTAGAACCCGTCTATAACAATTGTATTCAAAGCGCTGTTCAGCTTATTTAGTAAGTGTCCAGGCCTCACAGGCTTTGTTGCAATGGGAAAGATGCATCCTCTTTGAAATCTAAGTTTTGTAGTCCTGTCTGTCCCATTCCATATATTTTTTTTTAAATGAGATAGTTGACAGAAACCAAGGCGTACAGGACAAAAGCCGGTATCATGAATTCGATCTTCTAGACTTTAATAGAATGAATGTTATTAAACACATTGAATGATTATTTTAAATAGGTTTGTTTCAATAATTATGCTAAAATATTGTTGATTCAGGCTGCTTCACTGATTTACTTTTGAATATATATTAAGAAGAAAAATTTGCATGGCTGATGACTTGCTTTAAAAAAAAAAAGCATCACGTTCAGCCAGCGTCGCCGAAGGTGTAGCTTTAGGTTATAATTGTGACTAGGTTGTGTGCGTCATATAGAATGACTTAGCATTGCTCGCCACCAAGTCACTATGAAAAGGTTTTCTGCAGTGTTGATGCGATGAAAAAGACAGCCCAAATACTGTACCGATCGGCAACGAAGTCGTCTACCGGCCATCTATCAATCGATGATTGGCGATCCGGCTCCAGCCCTTTTATATACTTTATTTTCTGTGAGCGTTTTGGGGCAGATTGTGGAGTAAAGAAGAATAGACACACTGCCCCTGAAAATGCATGTCATAAAAGTCGACTAATTAGGATTGCTTCCTTTGAAGTTGGAATGCATCAGTCTGAAAGGTGAGAAACCAACAGTCTGCACAGAAATAAGCTGGATCTGTAAACGGATGTGTACGCGAATCTCGGGTTCTGGAACAAGTCCAGAAGTGGACCTAAATCATCATCAAGAGCCTTGCCGACTGCCGTGGGTGATCACGCTTCTCCGCAATCTGCGACCCTCTTGCTGCGTGTATAAGTTCGTGTGTTGACACCTCTCCATGACATGACAAAAAGTGGACAAGATTCTTCTCACGCTGTCTTCCTCTGTCTCTTTTTTCCACAGTTCTTTTCAGTGATCACAACATATCCCAATTTCCTTCTCATACCAAAAATTGATGGCTTTCTCTTTCTGATGTTTGTGATAAGTTGAATTCCAGCGTTCGTCTCTTTCAAGACACCCGGGGTGCTCCTTTTGGTTGTCCAAGGAATTCCAAGTATTCTTCTGTAAAACCACATCTCCAAGGCCTCAAGAAATTGTTTAGTCTGGCTTGTTTAGTAACTGTCTAGGATAAAACGGACTCTTTATTTAGCTTATGGTAAATGACAGTTTCTTTCACTTGTAGCGCGCAGGCCTCGTGGGGAAAAAAGAAGGAAAAAGGGATTGGTTCAGTGCCTACCCCCCCCCCCCCACAAGCATTTGATAGGTTCAAAAAAAAAAAAAAAAAGGAAAAAAGTAAAGGTGCCCTTTCCACGCCTTTAGGCGCATATAAGGTTGGTCCTATATTTGTATAGACCAATCAGCACAAGAAGGGTGATATGTATGGTCAGTATTACACCGGCTGCCTTTACTTCCCGTGACTGCACCCGTACCCACTCAAGGCTGGGTCGACCTGGGAGTCAAAGTAATTTTTGAAAAAAGTCAGGCTCCGCCAGGGAGCGAACCCACCACCTTCCGACCCGCACGCGAGTGTATAGCCACTACACCACGGCGACTATACCCTAAGAGACAACCATTTAGAGGTTTGCAGAAATGGATGTGTTGAAACAAAAGTCGCAGATATCACAGCCTAGCTGTAAACCTCAACGGGCTAACCGCCCTTTTAGAGGCACTCTCAAAGGAATAAGGAGCAGCACGGCCTATCACGACTTACCCAGCTATTCATAAAAGGAATAAACATTCCACTCATGATGAGTCCTAACAGAGGCCCACCAACAATGCCAAAAATGCCAAACGTTATGGTGAGAACTGTTTTGCCCAGCAATTTGGCCAGATAAGCGAGTCCTATAGTAATGGCACCGAATATGATTGCTGAAAACAAAGAACAACAAAGAACACATTAATGGTTAGTTCTGTGAATACTAAGGAACTCACTGTACGTCTGTTAGTTACTTTATACAACGTTCACATGCTTTATATTCTTCTATTCATGGCTTTGACCCCTAGCGGTATGCAGCTGTAAGGAGTACCGGCACCTTTTACTTTAAACATTTTTTTTCAGCACTACAGTCGTAAACAGATTTTGGGGGAGCATTGACAACATTTATTGTTAGAAACTATGGGTGTCTGCATCTCTCTCTCTCTCTCTCTTTTTCTCTCTCTCTCCCCCCCTCTCTCTCCCTCTCTCTCTTTCCACGTTCCCCCTTCTAAAAAACAGACCCTGCTTCCCATCCTTTCGTTTTACTAATTTATTTTACCCAAACTGTTACTGTAACTACTTTAGCCCTTACAGTTGTTATTTCAACCATTCTGAGTTGATTCCTATCCTTCCGTTCTACTGATTTATTTTACATAAACTGTTACTTTAACTACTTGAGCCCTACCAGATGCTATTTTAACCTCTCTGAGTTGTAGAGGAGCTGAACTACACAAGGTCAAGGTCATTAGGTCAAGGCTCATTCTGGTGCTGGCTGGTGGGGTGGGGTGTGTGTCAAGGCTCAATTCCTCCAAGTTTTCACGTCCCTGTTAATCGTCATCACGATCGCTATCATTGTCACCACCATTATCATCTTCAACATCATCACCATTTGTTGTTCGGTCATAATCTACAGTTTATTATGTACTTATCTTGGAGAAAACAGGGACAAGTTAACTTTCTAGACTAACTGTAGCGAAGACAACTACAAACTATAACTTTCTAGAATGGTTGTAGTGAAGACAAGTAAAAACTAAAGCTATCCATTAATGTTTGTGGTGGTGGTCCAAAAGACGTTTTGTAGAAAAGCTCGCATTCCTACAAGATTCGCCTGGCCAAATCAGAGAGAGAGAGAGAGAGATGACACCAAGAGGTAATAAGAAGAAGAAAGAAACGCACAGCTAACAACAGGGTGGAGGACGAGTGGACTGACTATAGCTACCTAGAATGTTTGCGACAAAGGCAACGACAAACTATAGCTACCTAGAATGTTTGCGACAAAGGCAACGACAAACTATCGCTACCTAGAATGTTTGCGACAAAGACAACGACAAACTATGGCTACCTATAAGGTTTGCGACAAAGACAACAACAAACTATAGCTACCTATAATGTTTGCGACAACGACAAACTATTGCTACCTAGAATGTTTGCGACAAAGACAACGACAAACTATAGCTACCTAGAATATTTGCGACCAAGACGACAAACTATAGCTACCTAGAATGTTTGCGACAACGACAAACTATAGCTACCTAGAATGTTTGCGACAACGACAAACTATAGCTACCTAGAATGTTTGCGACAACGACAAACTATAGCTACCTAGAATGTTTGCGACAACGACAACGACAAACTATAGCTACCTAGAATGTTTGCGGCAACGACAAACTATAGCTACCTAGAATGTTTGCGACAACGACAAACTATAGCTACCTAGAATGTTTGCGACAACGACAAACTATAGCTACCTAGAATGTTTGCGGCAACGACAAACTAT